TAATTTTTCTTACTTTGATAAAGCCTCTTTATAACTAATTTAATACATGTAGCTTCTTTTGAACTTACATTTGAGTGGGGGCTGCTACAGAAGGTGCACCTTCAGAAGGGGTTGGAGATTTTTGAACACTTACTGGCTGGGCTGGTGTTGCTGAAGAAAAACATTATCTCTTATCATTACCTCCCCAGAAAATGAATTGAAATTACATTCACAAAATCTGAGACATCTTCAAAAAATTTTCAGAAAGGATTTCTTTAAGTATGACAAGAACTGAATATTTACGTGATGCTTCAGGGATCCCTAAATCGGACAGTAACTTATCTGTCTCTTGTCTTAAGTCTGTCTGGCTGCTGCTCTGTCCAGACTTCTTATCTTCTCCACTCTGAAAAAAATGCTTGTCTTATCAACAGAATAACTTCAAAATGTCTAATTCTTACATAAATTATTGAAATTAATGACACCCTCTCAAATACTGATCTATATATACAATACCTCACTATTTTTGAACAGGTTCTTTAATCTTTTTTCCCTGTGCATTGTGCAGTGTAAAAGTGAAGAAAGACCAAATGTAAAGTGCGATGTAAAAGACCAGATGTTAATACCCCTGACAAGACTTTCAATTTTTCCTTTACTAGAGTGAGTACATCAAGCTGCACAAATCGCTCTGATACTTCAAGTTCTTACGTGACAGCATAGGTAAAGAGGAAAATCAGACTGAACAAATTGATCCTACTGATCAAATTTTAGCAGCTGTAGCCTCTATTGCCACAATGTAACATAAATGCATCTCACTGCTCATTTGATTTTCGTTGTTTTGCATTAACAACAATTAAAAGTCATCAAACCTTAACCTAATGGATGTTACAAATAAATTGCACATATCAATTAAAAATCCTTCTTTAAAAATTTGCACTTTTCAGACTTTTTATGAAGTTTTGTGATGGAATTCTTCAGAAATATTCTCTTATTTTCTGCATTGCAAGTGAATGGGACATAATTCTGACTGTGATGTTGGCTTGTCTTAAAAAATGATTAGATTATTCAACTTCTTTTTTTATGATACATGAAGTAAATGAACAATCATTGATCTGACATTGACTGTCAGACAGTGACACATAGTACTTTATGCCTTAAATTCTTTCATCCCACTTCACACCAAATATACTATAGTCATATATCCTTAAAGTAATATTAATCTTTTTATTGCACATATTTTGAATTAAAAAAAAAACAGCTGAAAAATGAATTGCTTAAACTGAGAAAGTTTATTTACTTTGATTGTATGTAGGCACTAACTTAGTTTTGATAAATAGAATGAGAGATGACTCATACTTCTTTAAGCTTGCGTTGTCGATTCTTTTCCTCTCTTTCTTTTCTCATCTGCTCCAACTTGAGCTTTTTTCGCTCAAGTTCAGCCTTTCTGTCGGCCATTTTCAGACAGATTTCTTAAATTATCAATCAATATTATGCTGATGAGCCAACACCAAATTTTCACGGAAGTGATAAAAAATGAGTATTTTTCAAAATGAAATTGGGTGGAAATATTTTATCCGGATGCGGATCTCAGGGCAGTTTATAGGCCACCCAAACTTTTTCTTTGTTGTGCAGACGGATTTGTCATGAGGTTATGAAATTGAAGTAAACATAAATTAACTTATGTTTAAAAGTGGTGTACATTCTATTTATTCATTTATTTCATTTCATTTTCATTTGTTTTATTTAGTTAACGTTACATGTACCAGACGAGAAGAATTCCCAAATGATGAGGATCTACAAATTATAGAACTGTTCTTCAAATTTTGTGTTTTTATGCTTCAGTCATCGAAACTAGAATCGGAGTATATACTTTTGCCCTGTTCGTCCCTCTAGCAGTCTGTCAAGCTGTTTGTTTAGCAATACTCCTGTCTGTCCGTCTGATAGTATTTAAAATTGTCTGCAAAAAAAAAAATAATAATAATTTTTAAAAATACCATAATAATTTTTATTGGTTGGAGCTATGGCTTTCATATTATATTTCACATGTGTATTTCTTCTGACAAGACCTTTCTTTGGTTACCAGCATATTTGACATATTGACTTTGGAGTCTGACTCACATAAAAATTTGCAAAAAAATTACTTGAAAACTTCTTGCCCATATAACCTTAATTTAAACAGTTGTTGCTGGGGCTTTCATATTTCAGTATTTCACTTGTGTATATTTATTCTGACAAGATCTTTAAATGACAGATATATAAATATTTTAAACCTTTTGACCCTGGCCTTCCTTAGGGTTTGACCAACTTATAATTTTTTTACTTTTTTTTTTACCTTGGCCATAACTTTTGAACAGTTAGTACTACGGCTTTCAACTTTCCCATGCATATTTCTTATGACAAAACCTACTTTGGATATGACCAATTTCGACCGTTTTACCTTGAAGTTTGGTCTTCTTTTGAAAAACTTTAATAATTTTCATAACACTTGAACGGTAATTGTTGTAAGATTTTTAAAAAAATATATTTTGCATGTATATATCTTCTTACATGGTTTTAATGATAATACATTAAATTTTATGCCTTGACCTTGACCTCTTTCGCTAATAAACCGTTAAACTGTGTTTAGCCCAGTGAATGAAAAAAGTGAAGATAACATATATAGTGATATATACATTATACATGTATTTTTAAAAATCTAGCTATGAACAATACAAATCCGTAAATACCAGTGGTGGGATCAGGTGGCGCCAAGGCAATGGAAACGCATCCTGTTGAATGATCACACCTGCAATATGTCCTCTGTATTTTTCAGATAGAGGGAAAATTCACTTGCTAAATTTAGTTGTCAAAATTTTAAAAAGAAAAAAAAGACAATTGTTGTGAAACGTCAGCCAAAATACGACCCAATTTTAGGTCATATTTGATAACTATAAGTCATAATATAAAATACAGAATTCTCAGAATGTTGGCTCTAATTATAAACAAGGCTGTTGACTGTAACCTCAAATTATTTGTGAATAGCCTGCCTCGGTTGAAAATCCGAGCATGCTCTTGGGTATCGAATAATTGAGTTGAGAGACATAAACACCATGCATGTGCAGGTGTATAGCTGAATATTACTACATAAATAAGGAACAACTAAAGTCAGCTCATATGTCATACGGTTTAGTTGATGATTGTCCCTTATCGTATAGATCTATATAGTCAAAACACATCTAAATATTTGGGTGTGCAATTGAATTATCATACTTGAAGTTTGAATTAGATTGGTCACGTCGAGCTTACAGGGTTAGATAAAAAAAACCTGATGCAAGAGTTTGCAAAAATAAAAACTCATACGAAAAGGCGGTACATAGCTTTTGCCGTATCCGTCCATCTGTCTGCCTGCTTGTCCGCAAAAAAAAAAACAAAAAACAAAAAAAACATTAACCTAGCCCATAACTTTTAAAAGACTGTAGTTACGGTTTTCACCGTGAAACGTTTCGCTTTTATTTTCTTGTGACAAGACAAGACCTTTCTTTGGGTACCAACAAATTTTACCTCTTGGCTTTGCCATTGGTGTTTTGTCGACTTTTTAAATTTAAAAAATACCAGCCATATCTTTTGATCAGTTAAAATTGTCATTTTTCACATGTGTATATTTATGAAGACAAGGTATTTCCTTGGGTATGAATGCTTTTGACCTTGGTGAATCATATGGAGATAATGAACGGTATTCAAGATCAAAAGTCCATAAAACCGTACAAAATAGGAGCCGAGCAAACACGGACCTCCAAAACATCAGAGGTGGGATCGGGTGCCATGGAGGAGTAAGTATCCCCTGTCGACCGGTCATATCCGCCTTGTGCTCCTTGTCATGATCGGGAAATAACTGAAAAATCCGTCGTCAATTCAGTGTATAAATATTGGTCTAGCAATTAATTTAGTATGAAAAACGTCAGTCCGCATTTGACTCAATGATACATTGAACATATATATACGCTGACAAGGTCATTGTATCGACCATAGAACTTACGAAATGATGACTTTAAACTAGATTGCTGATATTTTTGTTTCATCAACTTATTTGTCTATTATTTACCTCGTTTTAGAAATTGTTCATACTTACGTACAGCAGACTTTTGCGTATCGAATCAACTGAGATATATAAACTCCATATGCAGGTGATGAAGGTATATTGCTGCATAAGTGAGGGAAGTTGACGATTGGAAAGTTAAAGTCATCAAGTTTATCATAGAGCTTGGTTGTTTGATTACCAAGTACGTATTTTTAAAGTAAAATATCCAAATATGAAACAGATGTGTCAGACTCTGTGGAATCTAAGAGTTTGACCTACGTTTGAAAAACGTTAGCCAAAACTTTTAAACGGAAAACTAGTGCTTGGATTTTCAATTCATATTCCACTTGTATATATATATTGAGACCAGTCCTGTCTTTATGTAACAATATTTCTGATTTCTTGACTTTGGAATTCTACTTGAGCAACTTCAACCTTTGCTTTTTAAAGCTACAGTACCATAGGGGTGTATAAGTGTTTCAGGAACACTTTTTGTTCTTAATAAAGCACTAAAAAAATTTTGTTTCATACGTTCATATGCAAGTAAATTGCATTTGTAATTTGAATGCTACAAGAATCTGAGAAATTGGAACTTATATCTGACTTGTAAAATGGTACACTCCTGCACTGTACACATGTTTCTAAATTTCAGAAGTGTTTTTAATTTATAATGTTTGCAGATCAAAATACGGAACAGATGGATTAACATTGGGATAAATTTTTAATGTATGGTATATATCTCAAGGTAGATTTCACATGTACTAATTCTCACACTTCATTGTTTCTAATACACATTCTGAAGCAGAAATAAAGAAAATCAGTTCAAACTATTGAATTTATTTTTTTTTATAAAACGAATTTTCAACAAGAATTTAAATGAAAATGGTGTTTGGAGTCAGATTAACTGCAAATAGTCCTTGCTTTAAATAAGCCACATAAAAACATTCTTTCTTAATTGATTGCTGGTTGGTTGTCAATTTACTTAAGACCAAATAACTTTCTTAATCGAAATCTCAGTGTCTTCTTTCCTCCTGTTGCCTACAAAATAACAATTCCAACACTGTATCACTAAATAAATCTTAATTACAGGAAAAGTTATTATCTCCCTTCACTCAAAAATGATTTTCAAAAAGAAATTCAAGTCATTACAGGTATTTCATTATGCACCAATTTAGGATATTTTGCAGGTTAAAAATGTGCAGAAATGACTTTTTAACTAGAAATAATAATTGTAATTTATTGGATAAGAGTTATCTCTCTTATCAGAGGGTAAATCAGCCTTAAAATGTGTACCTTCTGTGTATGAACTGCTGTCCTGCTCTCACTGATACTAGTATGCGGCATCATGCGGTCATTTCTGATATCCAGTTCACAATGCCCTGTCTCCTTGTCTTCTTTCAGTTCCCCCTATAATTAGAAATGTAGAGTTTCAAAAATTATGTAAAACCTCATTAAAAAAAATACCTTAGAATACCAATAAAATGACTTTACATTTATAAAGATGATCAGATTACTCTTAGTAATATATCAGTTTCAATTTGTGATAGAACTTGGTATATCTCCTGTACTTGAACTAGCTTTGCCTTTTTGATAATTATGAAATTTAGTTGCAATATTCCAGTTTATCAATCAAAGAACTTGCAATTTTTTTTTTCAGGTGAAAGTACATATAAACCTGTGCTTACAAATTCAAGAGAATTTCTTTTTCTGAGTGTGTGATTTGAAATGAATTCATTTTTTTAAAATAAAGTTTGCAAAATAATTCTTATTGTTAGATTTTGAACAGAAACATATTTTAAAAATCTTATTCATTAAAATCAAAAGTATATTGTAGTTGTTTGAGTGTGGTTTTTTATTTCAACCGAAATAGAATAATACCTTAAAGGGAGTCTTGAAAGTCTCAATATGGAACAAAAACAGTTTCCTTGGGACAAAATGTTGTTTTTCTCCTTCTTTATTTGACTGGTAACTCTGTAAAACAGGATTTATACTTCTAGACTTTGTTTGAAATTCAGAAGAAAAATATTTTAGTCTATTTTCATCATTTTTTATATAAGTACAAATCTCTGAACTTCTCTTCTTACCAGCAGTTCTTTGTGAAGGTTAGACACCATTTGTTTTAATTCTCTCTTTTCAGTTACTTTTGCCTGTGTAAAAGAAATTAAATGAAAAACTTGACCTGCATATAAACAAATTTATAATCATGGTACTTTATTTATGATTATAGTTTAAAAACAAATTATGTTTTCTTACCATGAGTTCTTTGTGAAGGTTAGATCTGTTTTAATTCTCTCTTTTCAATTACTTTTGCCTGTGTGTGTAAAAGAAATTAAATGAAAAACTTGACCTGCATATAAACAAATTTATAATCATGGTACTTTATTTATGATTATAGATTAAAAACAAATTATGTTTTCTTACCATGAGTTCTTTGTGAAGGTTAGACACCATCTGTTTTAATTCTCTCTTTTCAATTACTTTTGCCTGTGTAAAAGAAATTAAATGAAAAACTTGACCTGCATATAAACAAATTTATAATCATGGTACTTTATTTATGATTATAGTTTAAAAACAAATTATGTTTTCTTACCATGAGTTCTTTGTGAAGGTTAGACACCATCTGTTTTAATTCTCTCTTTTCAATTACTTTTGCCTGTGTAAAAGAAATTAAATGAAAAACTTGACCTGCACATAAACAAATTTATAATCATGGTACTTTATTTATGATTATAGATTAAAAACAAATTATGTTTTCTTACCAGCAGTTCTTTGTGAAGTTTAGATAACATCTGTTTCAATTCTGTCTTTTCTTTTACTTTTGCCTGTGAATAAAAAAAAATAATTAAAAACTTGACCAGCATAAACAAATTTTTAATGTTATTTACCACAGATTAAACAAAAATGGTTTACCAATAGCTCTTTATGGAGATCTTTCATTTTCTGTTCTTGTGTCTCTCTTTCTTTGAATTTTGTCTTGAAAAAAAAAAACAACAACATTTAAATATAAAAAGGTATATGCACTTGAGATATAAATTTTCTCAATAAATTCAAGTTTACATTAAAATGTGCTTATTTTCTGTTCTTGTGTGTATGTATCTCTGATTGTAATTTTCTCAGAATTTGTTTAAAATGTCCCTTTCCTGAATTGTTTTTCCCCTAAAAGGTTTTTTTTGACTTACCAGTAGTTCCTCTTGCATTTTTTTCACAATTTGTTGATGCTGCATTTTCTGTTGCATTTTTGTCTAAAAAAAAAAGACCCACACATTTTCTTTTGTAAATGCATATAGCTGTTGGAAAGTAAAGAGGTTGCAGTATACATGTGTATATTCAACAAAAAAATACACTTACCTGTAGCTCTTTGTGGACTTTTCCTAGTATTTCTTCATGGTTTTGCTTTTCTTTGATTTTTTCCTGGAAAAGGAGATTTATACAATTATCTATAAACACAAAATAAAAGGACCAAGCTCCAATATTTCATCCCCCCCAAATCTGCTATTCTCTAAAGTGAAATGATAAATACATTCCATTTTTTACCTGTTCTTGCTCTAGGGTTCTTTTAATCAGATCTTGTTTTTCCTTTTCCTCCTGTAATTCAACAATATTTACTCTTAAAAATGAATTTTTGCCATTAGTACTATTAACAAATAACATAAAAATAAGAGAATGTTATTTAACTCATAGGAAATGCAAGTCATTTACAGCCTAATATTTTCAAAAGCTGTGTTCCTTAAAGTAACAATTTTTGAAATACCTTCACCTAAAAAATATTCAAGTAAATAAGTACCTCTTGTCTTCTATCTTCTTCTTCCATGGCTGCGGCCCAGTCGTAATCAAATTTAAGTATCTTTAACTTTGTCTCCTAAAAAAAAGAAAGTCAAAGTGGAAATTTGATTTGAATGATCACTATTGCTCAAATGTCTCACCTAATATGCATGGTTATTTGCATCAGTGAATTTCATGTAATATAATTTTTTAACAACAACTCTTTAACACTCACCACATCCCGCACAGCTTCGTCGCCAAAATCCAAAATTTCACCTTTTTTGAGAATCTACAAACAAATGAATATTATATAATAATTGATATTAATTTCAAGGTTTTCTTTTAGATTGAATTTTGATGTCAAACACTCCATTCCTGGTGATGATTTGTTGTAGCAATGATTGAGACATTATTCCTTTGTTTTATATTTTGTGGTTATTTTTTTAACTAGATGATTGATTGGATATTTGCCACGTGATATAAAATACCTCTTGTCTTCTGTCCTCCTCATCCATGGCCTGAGCCCAACTGTAGTCAAACTTCAAAATTTTCAACTTTGTTTCCTGCAAAATTGTCAAAATTAAAATAAATCATGCATTCATTCATTTTCATCGTGATTTTATCTACTAGTATATACTACATTTAAGTAATTGTACATCTTTAAAATAAACTTTTTTCTGCCAGCATTAACTTTTATACCAATGCTTGTTTTATCAGATAGAATATAGAATATAATTTATTAGTGACTAAATTCTTAATTTAATATTTCTTGGAAAAACCTATAACTTCTGATTAGAAATAAATTCACTTTTCAGGTTAGGTATGAAAATACATGTAATTAATATATTCAATCTTTCCGCTCATCATTTCAGAGTATGTCGGTGTGGTGAGTGTCAAAACACTGGAAGGATTCAATGTGCGGATATTTTAAATCAACTCGATCATACAATGTAGAGTATAGTTTTACTCTTAGAACATTTAATCATTATACTTGTATGTATTAAATATTGTAAAACTATTCATTTAATTGTGGATTATCATGCTTAATTCCATAAAAGTACGAAAAATAAGCAGATAATACATTTGTTATTTTTATAACTTAATATTTAAAAAAAAACAACGATATAGCCCCCCCCCTCCCTTTTTTTCGACAAGACACATTTTTTTCCTTATTCATCAATTATATACAATTTTATACTGTTTTAGTGTAATTAAATTTTGAAAAAAAATTATATGTACTTGAATTTTTAAGGATTAATCAAAGATATAGAATATTCAGCACATTCACCCGTCCGCTTAGTAACACTTACAACATCCCGCACAGCTTCTTCTCCAAAATCAAGAATTACGTCCATTTTGAAAATCTGAAAAATCAATGAATAAATAAATTAATTAAAATAATATAATTTGTACAAAATGTAAATTTATACAAGTAAATTGATTTCAATCTGCTGATGAAAACGAATGCATGTTTAACATCCTACTTCTACTATTTCTTATCTTCGCTTTCCCTAGTGACGTGTTGTTGTAGCGATGATTATGACGTCACTCTTTTGTTACGTATGAACTAAATTGTGACGTTAAAGTAAAACGATCCTGTGTTCTAAGCATTTGCATAAATTATTTAGATTCTGGGAAAATAAGATAGAGCCGGGGAGAAAATATTTAGGTTAAATGTGAAACGGACACAAGATATATAATGCTTATAATATATGTAATCACGTATATTTATCATGGAATATCTGCTTATTTGACCCACCTATCTCCCAATCGGAAGATCACTATGATCTAACTTAAAAGTCATTGTGAAATGACAGTATTTTGAGAAGTTTTATTATGACCAACAATTGAATAATTAGTATATAACCTTTGTAAGTAAAGGAACTTAATTTACTTAAAAGTTTCGATAAGAATTCCGTAGTAGAGAAGATTTTCTATGGCATCAAACTTCCATGCCCTCTTGCAATTCATGATACACATGATATCGCCTAACACATGTATTTATGATAAATATAATTCGATAAGTGATAAAAACGGGCTAGAGATGATACAATTACATGACCCCTTTATTAAACTGAAATACTTTGAAATAAATAAATCGAAATGTTTGTTGCATTTACCTTTACGCCTTTTGTTTGGTTGTGATGGTTCATGTTATTATTACGTCACTGTTCATTTGTTACGTCATTGCATTGTCTATAGTTGGCATCACTATTCATCATGCATATTTTCGAACCTAATAATTATCATAAAATGAAGATTAACAGTACCGTTCAAAATCTTCAAAATTGTAAGGAATGATGAATTTAGAAACTGAATAGTTAAATTACCCCTCCTCCAAAAAAATAATTTATTACGTATACATTTGATTTAAAAATATTGAAACCACGGATAGTATTCTTGTTTAATCATTTTCGATCATTACCATTGATTCGTTTTATAGTCAATAATGACTTATTGGGCGTCACTTCTCTTCATGTCAATATTTTGGAACCTAATAATTATATATAAAATGGAGATTTGAAAAAAAAACAACTTTGACTAGAAAAATCGTTGAAAGAAAAATAAAATTTTATTATTTGAATTTTTCATTGATTTTCAATTATAAAGCTAAATGAAAACACAAATTTCAGTGTGTATTGGTAAATTTTCCGCTTATAGCTCACAATAATGTAAACCAAACGGGAATAACTTTTTTTATTTATTATAATTATTATCATTTATGAAGAAAATTGAGGGGAAATTCGAAGACATCGATTTACGATTTACAATTGCATGTCTTGAAACTTAAAGCGTCAACATGGTCAACAATATAATATCTCTAGGTATGTTCGAACTACACGTATATATGTACGTGTTTGATTTCATGTTTAATTAAATTAATAGTCTTCAAATTGCAGAAAACGATAAATTAAGAAAGTGGATATTATATTCAAATACCCCTCCCCCCCCCCTCAAAAAAAAGAAGCTCTGATGAAACTTCATTATATTTTTTTTAATTGGAAACCACGGATAACTTTATAAATCCCCCCCCCCCCCCAACAAAAGTAAATAAATAATTATTTTTTAAAAGAAGAGTTTTATCTTTGTGCGCAAAAAAATATATAAATTATTTTCAAACTTCTTCAAATTCAATAAATTGATATTCCCCCTTTTCCATGAGGCATTTCCGCTCAATATGAATATATGACGTCATTCTCCAACCAAAACAATGTCAGTGATTTCCCTTTGAATTTTCCCGAACTATTTTCTGTTAAAGAACTTTTCATTGGTCGATTGTTTTATTGGTCTTTTCTCTAAATGATAGATGGAGCTCAGAAAAAGTTGGTGTATAATTTGTTTAAAACATGTCTGACAGTTTCGATACTTGTGTTGTAATATTTTTTAACGCTACAAAATGTATTTCATAAAGCAACTAACCTAGATCGTGGTGAAGCACTAGAGTTCTATTATGTTTATTATTACGCCACAAGAAATTAAGAACCAATCAAATTTCACGACTCATACAAGTTTCGTTCTTATGCTCTTGTTATTATTTTTCTTTTGTTCGATGGAAGGGTAGATATTTTTCCTGAAAGAATTTGGGGATTTGGAGAGCCTGATATGCTGTCGCCATGAACAACCAGAACGGCTTCGTTCATCACCATCACAAAACCAAGTCGGAGGTAAGGAATTATATTTGTTTTGACGTTTTAACCAGAAGATTAAAATGGTCATGTTGTGACCAGCTGATCTGTCAAAATAAGGAAGGGGGCAAAATACTGAAATTTTGGCCAAAGAGGGGCGAATAAGCTGTCAAACATAAGCCCTCTAAGACGTTTAACTGCATAAGAAGTAAGTTTTTATCATATCCTTCAACACAAACTTTGTGTTTTGAATAAATACCAATACCTATTCTGAAATTGATTTTTTAAACAAAGGGGAAAACACACGTGCTTCTTTAAGTATGTCAGTGGAGAACAAAGGAATGAAAGGATGACTTCTTAACATGAAACAATAAGAATCACCTATACTTCATTATTGCATTGTAATTTTACTATTGCAATGTAACCTTGGTTACAAGAAGAGAATTTTAACACATCACAAAGAAATTAATTTGCAAATCCATGCACACTTGTGAAAAAAGAGACATTAAAGTTTACATGTACATATTTTACTAAACAATGAGCTCCTGATACAAGCTCACCCTTTTTGTTTAATGATTTCAATATTCTTAAACATAATGGAGATTGTCAAATGAGATGTCCTTTATGTCATATATAGGCCTAGTTAAAAATTGAAAATTAGCAGATATTGTCACCTCGCATAATCAGTTTCATGGATGGATGATGTGGTCACATTCAGTCTTAAGTTAACCATACCTTTTAAATACTAAGTCAGTAAGTGTTTGGTACTGAAATCATTCATTTTAATATAAATACTGCCATGTTCATTGCTGTGAACATGGTGAAATTCAAGCTTAATTTCCTTGAAACAAGTTTTTTCAATGAAAATGATATTGTATACATTTTCACGTTCAACATTTATTCAAGTTACATCTGAGAAGGTGTGCCCGTCAAATGCAAAGTGCCACATATAGCACTAAGCATGATTAGCCCTAAAAGTTTTACAGAAAACCAAAGAGACAGAAAATACAAAGTTTTAAGTTGGATATGGAAATTATTTCACAAATATATGCACATGTAAATTACAGAAAACATAGGGAAGACCATGTCACAAATCATTTAGAATACTTATTTCTTCTAAACCAGATGTTGGCAAGGTTCAACTGAGCTCAAGCTATTGCTCTCACCTGAGGCCTGCTTTGTATTCCAACAAAAGCAAAATTCATTTTCTAAATGAAACAAAATGACACTCAGGCTATGAGTAAAGAGGTACAGTAAATGTAAACATATTTGTTCCCATTGATTTCTCAGAGTATCATTGTTAAACGTAGGTCTTCAGTGCAGTCTAACTATCACACTCCTGAGGTTAGATGTATCAAAGGGTATATGTGGATCATTGTTTACTTGTCTTTTTTTTATTCCTAGGACAAAGACAACAGAGATTTAAAAAAAATGAATTAAGAGTTACCATCATTTACTACTAAGCTTTAAAATACATTCTTGAGAGAAAAAATCTGGAATTTTGATAGCATGATAGGCCAATTTAAGGGTTTTATCATGGGGAGTGTAGATGAGAATTACTTGGCTAGTGAAGGTTCTATAAAGTTTTACCTACCGTATATACTCGCCTATAAGTCGGATTTTAGGGAGTTAAAATTCAGTCCAAAACTCTATGTCTGACTTATAGGCGAGTTATAAAAAGAATGGCATATTAGAAGATCAATCCCTGTAATATTAGCTTGAAAAATACAGCCGACTTATATGCCGACCGACTTATAGGCAAGTATATACGGTTATAAGTAGGAAGAAGGTAAGAAATACGTTATGTGCTGGGTACTTGGAGTCAATTAACAGTTCAAGATTTGTGTACAGGAATTAATCCACATTAAGACCTAATATTAAAGATGATAGGTATTCCTATATTGACCAAGAATTGCATGTTATTACATATATATCAAAATTCTAATAAATCTTTCACATATGAGAGCTGTATATTGTAAGTCCAATAAAACCCTAGAGTTACATTTAAAACTCTTAAAGATACACAAGATTGCAGTTAGAAAATCCAGGAAGGGCTCAAAGTTGTGAAATTGATAGAAAAGGAAGTTCATTGATTTCTCGTGGAATGCATTTTTAAAAAAGTTAAAAAAATGTTGTGTGTATCAACTCTTATAAATATCAGACAAAATTTGATATATTTGGATCCTAGATTTGACTAGAGAAAGTCCATTAAACCAAGTAAGGGTTGTTTTTTGGAAGTCAGCTGAACACCAGAATTTTGTCTTAATCAGCAAGTCCTAAGAGATTGATGCAATGTTTAATTTTCTTGAAAATCCAATGTCATGAGTTTATGTTAACTGCTGTAGCTTCCAAATTCATACAATGACAACTTTCAGTTTGCTAAACAATTATAAATACAAAGAACTTAGAAGTCAACCAATCTTAAGTGTCCAGGTTCTCTTTAGATAATCCGTTCCATAGGGATACTGCAAACAATCTAATTACACGTAATAGAGGATGCCTGTAGTGTCTGTCATGGATGCTTCATGAAACATTTTCTGGATGAGTGGCCAGGGTAAAGTTTTGATTAAGGCTCATTTGGAGTAATTGCATGTCCTATTGAAACCCAAGTTACATGCTTGGATGATACATCAGAAATGGGATTATATATTGATAGCCATAAACATGATAAAATTCCTCATCCAGTGATCTTCATCTTCCAGAAGAGTCAGTCTGCAGTAAATTCACATTTCTAGAGATTTATTTTCTGCTTGTACTCTAATCTATCAGTATTTCCCTACACAGGGTCAGCATTTCTTGTATTCGAGTTCATTTCATGCCGTTTGGTACAGATTGTTTTTGGAAGATTATACAACACATTGTATTTTATAGATATCTATTGCTTTTGACAAGAGTCTGGTTTTATCTAATGTTCCACAGTAATCACTTTAAATGTTCTGACATACTTCAAATTGATGATCATGCATGTTGATTGTGGAAATTTTTTTGGGAAAGGGGGGATTTTTCAGCAGTTTGGATATTTTTTCTCACTGGTTTATCAGCTTAAAATTGAGAATTGATGGAAAAAATCTGTAAATTTTGTATTCTACGATTTGGTGCTTATGTTGATCAGATTCACTAAGACCTAAGACGCTGGAGGTTGTGTTAATTTGCTTTGTAATAGTTATTTTCTGTAAAAGAGTAAATTCATTTTTATATTGCCTAAAGATTGAATAAAGAATGAAAAGACTATTGATTGTGTAGGTGTCTGCATTATAAATTTGCAAATCACAACTTTTTTTTTTCACTTATTTGTGATAAAGTCATGGTATCCTAAGGCTTCAATACAAGACATTTATAAGGATAGAATTTAAAATACAGAGAGGAATGGTAAATTGTAAATGTGAATTTTAAGGTTTACTTGTTTTTCTTCTATTTTTCTTTACTTTTTTGCATTTATAACAATTTTAATTTTCCCCCTGCAGAGTTTTCTGGATTGGCCTTCCAGAAAATGAGAATTTTTTAGCATCTGTAGAAGTATTGATTTTATGTAATGCAAGAATATGATTTATATCCTTAATTATATGTCACTATAAAACTTGTTCTGATGTTGTTTGGTATAGAGAAATCAACTGTTGATGCCGTGTTTTCTCAATAATGACGGTGCCTTTATGGCAATCCTAGTTATCTAAAGTTCCTTTTAAGTGTGCTGAAAGTTTATTGATAATCTTTCTGTCTAGTTATCAATAGCAAAGTTATTATACAATTAACATTTAATACACCCATCAAAGTGGATTCTAGTAAAAACGATCTAAAAAGTAGCAAGCCAAATACAAAAGAACCCAGATCACAACGGGAAGGGAGAAATTGCTTTTTGCAAAAATGAAATCCAGAGGAAACTGACAGGTTCCCTAAGGAGGAGAAAAAAATGTCGTTTTTGCATGTCTCCGCCATTTTTGCGTATCATCGGATCAGCTGTTCAAATTGATTCAGCTCGAATACTGCATGAGTTCTTGTCCTCTTGTGGTTAATACATGTATTTTGTGATTAATAGACATTCATTTTCCTGAGTTCATAGAATACTGTAATTTTTTTTTTTTTTGCGAGGACTTAATTTTCAAGTTATTACATGGAATTTTTATTCTCGCCTATATTTGTAATAGAAAGGATTATAATTATACATGAAAAACCAAAGCTCACAAAAAATTGTCATGCTAATTAATACCAAAAAAAGCTATCTTGCAAAAATAAGATGTCACAAAAATATAATGATATACAGTATTAAACTCATATAACTTAATAGAGATTTCACTGTCAAATTCTTTTTCTACCATACGACATAATATATTTTATATCATTATGCATGTAATTCAAACTGAAATTAAAAAAGGTACAGTTAATCATTTGAAGTAGGTACATAGTAACTTAAGATTTTTTTATTCATAATTAAGACCAAAAAAAACTAGTCAGGTAAATTAACATACACTTGGCACATAAATTAAAACAGCAATATCATATGCACAGGGACATTCTTCAAGCAGGAATATATGAATTATCTGTATTTATTTTTAAAAAAATCACAAATTACTAAAGCAACACTTGTATAGTCTGTATATGTGTTTTCGTAGTTGATACAATAACAGTCAAACCTTGATAGCTTGAATTCAATGTGGGCTTTCTTTTTATGTGACAGTAGGAGGAAATAGGAAAGATGTCAAAAACTGAAATAGATGTTTTTGCCATATATGTGCTGCTGTAAGGTCATCTTTTACCTCAGGGTTTATTTTCTTTGGTTCATAAAGGTTTTAGTAGAATAATTGTCTTTTAGACTTCAGTCTTCCAACAGTTAATTGTTGCTTAAAGTTGCCCGTGGAAGTGTTATGATTCATTATCCATTTGACAAAGTCCAAAAATTGTAAGAACATTTATCGTTTTTATTTTATTCTATTATATATGAAAAAAATAAGACAGAAAATGCAAATTATTACAGCGTTTTAAATAAAATATAATAAAAGATATGATTCATCACACATGACTCTACAAGGTCATCATCGCAGAATAACGATTGATTAAACAAGTTTACGAACCTTTGATAATGAGAAAAATGTTCATTTATATAAATATACTAGTAGTTGTAACATAAGGTAGGCATCATTAAGTCGCACAAGTATATAATGCGTGAAAATTTCAAGTATTGAAAGTAAATATAAAATACATATAAGAAGTATTATTACCACATAATAATTACATTAGCTAATGTGTGTTGCTATATATTGGAACTCGTTGCGGGATTTCTCAGGTGTCTGGTATATTTCTATCCCCAACAGAATCTTGATGATTAATAATCAGGGATTTCTCATGTTTTTTCAGGTCTTTCTTTTAATTGAGGGTTGTCATGGTGCTAGACGAAATTCGTCACTTTGCGATTATGATACACTGGAACAATTGGTGTGTCTTGTCCCTATATTTGATGGTGATACCGTAGGCCTATCTATGATGAAAAAAACCCAGTTAGATGATGGGTATATTGATTATTGCTAAGGAGGAATAACAAGTTTATTTTCTATACAATTAAAAATAACTTCATTCAGAACAAAGTTCACAAGTGCAGGCATATGTTCTTTTGTGTCACATCCAATACATTTTGTCCATGCATTATTTGCCATCAGCATTCCCCTTGCTTTGTATTGAGGGCTGGGAGGAATCAGATTTAACAATTCTATTTCTTACATTTAAGTATAATTGTTTAAATAACCGGCCTTGGTGGTAAAATATATCAATTTTCTTTATTTTGCAGTTTGCACACTATTACTGTGAAAAAAATCAGTGATATTACCCATTAGGGCCAATATTGGTGGTAAAATATATTAATAAAAATATATAAAAACCTCCTTTATTTTGCAGTTTGCACACTATTACTGCAATTTTAAATGAATAAAATTAATAAAAAAGACTTTCAAAGTGATATTATACCCATGTGTAATGCCTCATGTCTCAAGATACATATTACAAATAAAATTTCTATATAGTATGTATTGTTTTAATCATTAAATTACATTTTATGCTATTTAAATAAAACAACCCCCCCCCCCCCCAAAAAAAAAAAACAACTATAAAGAATAAACTATGCATAAACTTTTTTTTCAATTTGAAATTACATTTTGTTTTAATTTTTTCATTAAAAGTTATTATAATTACTGTGTTTTAAAATTTATAGATAAATTTAAATAGTCTTTGAACTGACAGCATTTTAAACTTTCTTTACAAATTTATTTAATATACAATATATCGCAATATATTGAAATTTTTAACGTAAAATATTGCAATATATCGCAATATGGTTTTCATGCTCTATTACCCATTGCCATTGTCTGTATAATTTCTTGTGACAGGGCATATTAGAAAATACCCTGTATACAGTATTTATCAAGGTCATTTGACACCAAACCCTCTTTGAAATTAAGTTTCATTAGACTGTGTTTTGACTCTATTCTTGCTGATAAACTTATTTTTGTCAGTTGTCAAGAATATCATGCTTTCATTGCCATTGTCTGTTTTGTCATATTAGGTATGCATGTTTTTACAAATTCTGTCAATATATTCTGGATTCTTTAATTTATATAATTGACATGTTCAATCTGTTTTTATTGATGGAGGAGGGGAAAATCCTTCTGCAACTGATAGGGACTCCGCTAAGCTATTTAATTGAGAGCATCCACAAGGGACTTTAGAAGCTATTTATTTGATAGCACTGCTCAACATTAATTGCTATTTTGTCTTGTTGCAGGTCTCAGTGAGTGAAGATGACAGTATTATCAATAAGAAACTACCTAAGGAGTTACTACTGAGGTATTTATCAAGGATTAATTAGGTTCAATCTTGATTGTTAAAACCAATGGGGATTAACCTAATGATCAAAATAAACCACAAGAAGTGATAAGATTAAAGGAATAGTATCTATGAACTTTAACATCTATCTGATTTGCTCTAATCTTCCTATACAGAATCAATATTTTGATGTTTTATAGGATCTTCTCTTTCCTTGATGTGGTGTCACTGTGTCGATGTGCCCAGGTATCCAAGGTGAGTCTCCAAGGCTGATTTAATTCACCTGCTGCTGTCCTGTCATTCGACGTATGCAAAGAAATTTCATGGAGTTGATTACCGTAATAAATGTAGCAGAGCCATGCATAGACTCGGTTAAACCATTTTGATAAAAAAAAAATTGCTTGCATCATTTATTATGGTACAGGTAGGGCATTATACAAAATAAAGAGTATATATGTAATCACTTTGATCCAAGGTCATTAAAACAAGTTCAAGGTCATTGGCTGAAAAAAAGTGTAAAATTCATATTTCACCCCCTAACTTTCTTTAGATGGAACATTGAAAGATCAAAAAGACATTGTAAGTGACCCAAAATGAGATCAGTCTATCAAATTCAAGTTCAGAAATTAAATTTACAGTACGTTCCTTCACTTCGGTTAGGGCAAAAATAAATTTTAATTTTGTTTCCTTTTTTCTGAATCCCAATATATTTAGCATGTATATAATGAGCCTTTCTGTATTGCATTGTTTGATTGTTTATCATTGAATTTTGGTACATGGCAGATTGTTTGAATAGCAAATGAATCTAACTGATTTTAAAGGAAATCTGTGAGAACATCCAGCAGTGAATCTATTGAAGGGTTTTTAATTCGAGAATCCTGCATGTTCGGTTTTATTGTTCTGTCAATATAGGAAGGGTCTGGATGATGTACAATATTAACTGAATTTGACTGTGTACTTTTAGTATTGGAACGTGCTAGCTTTAGATGGGAGCAACTGGCAGAGAGTTGATCTATTTGAATTCCAGCGCGATATTGTCGTAAGTTTAGCAAAGAAAAAAACACAAAGGAAACACAGAATTATTTCTAAATATAGAAAAGAAATACATGTAACTCATTTCTTGTATTCAATGAATTACTTTGAATTCATCATAATTTTTCAGTATAATGATAATGTAATATACAGTAGAGATATGGATGCTTGGAAAAATGTTTGGTTCATATATTCATGGTAATCATTTTCTTTATTTAAGGGTCCAGTTGTTGAAAACATTTCCAAGAGATGTGGTGGATTTTTAAAGTCATTAAGTTTACGTGGTTGTCAGAGTATTACAGATGCTGCACTCAAGTTAGTATTTTAAAACAAAATCCTATTAAAGAAAACAAAGATAAAGGAATTATTGGAACTCTTTTGGGTTCCATTTTCATCTAAATTTCTATGGAATAGTACATTAATGTACATGTAACACCAGAAAATATTTGAAAATCATTTATTTTTCGTCTACAGAACATTTGCACAATCTTGTCGTAACATAGAAGAGCTGAACCTGAACAATTGTAAAGAAATCACAGACACGTAAGTTTTCTAAGGAGTTTGATGTGCCTTTTAATGAAAAATAGATACATTGTATATCCTCAAAATGTAAACAAAAGCTGAAGCATGCAACATCTTTATTTTCTTTGTAAAATATTATGACATAATGCATATTGTTTATTTTTTTTAGAGGTCAAGAAATTTATATTGATGGAATTATATTTTAATTTCTGTTTATGAAATGTTACTAGTTTTACATGAATAGTAATTTAACCTCCTTTCTGCATCTGTGTTTCAGGACTTGTGAGAGTTTAGGTCACCATGGACACAAGCTTGTCTCCCTAGATATCAGTTCCTGTCCACAGATTACAAACCAGTCCCTCAAAGCCTTAGGGTAATGCTTTAACAAGTATGACTTCTCATGAACTAATACTATAGTCTACATTTGTGATTACTAGATCAGAGAAAAATGATGAATTTGTTTAAATATCATTTAGAGCACCTTGGTTTAATTTAGTATGAAAGCTTTTATTAAATTATGAAGATATACATGTAATATTGTTCAGAATATGGTTTTAAAGATCAGGATTTTAAATTGAGACATTTTACAGTTTTCTTCACATTCAAGTGGCTCTGTATTCTGGTAAAATTTGCCCTTGTTTATTTTTCTCCCTTGTGGGTGAATTCAAAATGGGGTGAATTCAACAGAGACACAGTTATCTTTCTTTTTACACTAATATGTCTGGCTTAGTTTAAAATGGGCAAAAATGTTAGCAAGTGTGATGGGATAAAAATAACCCTGTATGCAATATTAAGTAAGAAATCGGTGTTGAAATTCAGTGCATAAATGTAACATCTTGTTGAAAAGCCCTGGAATTAGTCTCACAAAGGCTTGTTACTTTTAGTAATCTTTGAACATGTGCATCGTGCATTTTACTGTATTTCAACAAACCATGAACTTCAAGATGACACTAATTAAGTTTAACTAGGTTTTGTTCATGTAAGCCCTAGTCCAGAATCCATTAACATGAAAATAGTACAGTAGAACAATGTAATGAATGTTTTTCCAATGTAAGTATAAAAAAAATGCTTATCAAGTGACAATTGCTTTTTTTTGTAGTGATGGTTGCCATAGTCTGCGGGTCTTGAATTTATCTTGGTGCACAAAGATCACAAATGATGGCATTGAGGCCCTTGCAAAGGGTTGCCATAATCTCCACACATACATAGGAAAGGGGCTCTCACAGGTATTGCATATTATGCTTGTTTGCTGATTTTCATTTACCAGGCAATCATTTTATGGGAATAATCTAAAAAAAAAAAGATTGTGTTTAAAAAAAATATTATTTTTTAGGTCACTGATGCAGGAATTGGACATTTAGCCAAACATTGTCAAAACCTCCAGAAGTTAGATCTACAGGGAAGTAATGTAAGTAGTAATACTGGATGTACTAAAAATGGAGAAAATATTCAGGGTACATTACATCAAAGCTTTATTATGCTGCAGTGTCTTGTTTTGGATTAAGTTGCTTTTTTGCAACTAAGAGAGATGATGATGTAGTCAAGATATTACCAGGGGGTTTAATTATTCCAAAGGTTTATACAGCAGTTATTTGAATTATCAAGAGATTTGATGAGTTATCTTCCTTTAAGGAATTATTCAAATATTAATCTTTGCACCTTATAATTTTTGAAAGCAGTATTATCAATAAATGGAGATATTAATTCTGCCAGTATAATGCTTTCTACATCATGTCTAAGATTTATGAAATTAACCAACATCTTTCCTAATATTAGTTATACAGTATAATATCTTGTGAAGTAAATTTGGATGATGAAGTGATTGTATACCTCTCTTTGTAGAATATAACAGATGAGACCCTCCGCAGGGTTTGCCAGCATTGTAACCAGTTGTTATTATGTTCCCCAAACGAAGTTGGGGAACTCTCTTTGTAGAATTTTACTCTGTTTCTTATTATTATTATTATTATTATTATTATTATTTTTATTCTTCCTGGGAAAATTTTGTCCACGAGTGATCTTGTAAACTACACATCCGACTTAGGTGAAACCTTTTTAGGGTCAGTAGGCATGTTATGTAGAGTTGCCAAACAAAGGTCATTTTGCGCGCACGTGCTTGCAAGAGCGCGCACGTGCAACATGTGAAATTACCAATATGATGGATATTGCCTTAACTTTTCTATTTTTTGATGAATTTTTTTGAAACTCATAATGTAAGGATACATTATATATAGACAATATAGCATGGTCAAAATAGCAAGATCTCACGCGCATGCACGTGCGCTTTGCTCTGATTGGTTGTAAAGTCCTATAACTTTCTTGTTTCTTGTCATAATCCTTTGAAATTTTGAACATAGTCCTACATTATGAAGATCTACCACATGATATATCAGAAATTTCATGAAAGCATGCGCATGTGCGCGTGCTGCAAGCTGATTGGCTGAAACTTTAAATGGCAATATCTCCTTTGTTTTTTGACGAAATTCTTTGAAATTTAAAATATAGTCATGCATTAGGATATCCTACAAAATGATATAGAAAAAAAATCATGAAATCACGCGCATAAAAACGCACGTGTGCTGTAATCTGATTGGCTGAAACTTTAAATAATTATTTATCCTTGTGTTTTTTGACGAAATTCTTTGACATTTAAACTATAGTCATGCATTAGGATATCCTACAAAATGATATAAAAAAAATCATGAAATTACGCGCATGCACGTGTGCTGAAATCTGATTGGCTGAAACTTTAAATGGCTATAACTCCCTTGTTTTTCAACCATACAGGATGGGATTTAGAACATAGATAGATGTAAGGGACTCCCACAAGAAGGTATTATCATAATGCACGTGCACGCACGTGCGTGCATTTGAAAATATATTTAAAAATACTCTTGAATGAGTGATTTTTATTACTTTTGGACTGAATGCTAAAATATATAGTATATTGAAATATATAAATAGTGTAGACAAGATGATATGGTCATATCGCACATGCATTCACATGCGCTTGGGTGCAATGCTAAAAATTGAATATAATTGATATCCTTCTGGGAAAACATTGTTAAAGTCAAAATGCGCAGAGTTTGTCTTATTTAATGAAGCTTACAGGGGATATGGCACCGAAAGGGAGTTGGGGAGCGTTTGGGGAACATCTGTAACGGTTCCCGTTACAATTAGCACTAGTTTATCTGTATATCTAACTGTGAAGTGGTTGTATACCTCTCTTTGTAGAATATTACAGATGAGGCCCTCCACAGGGTTGGCCAGCATTGTAACCAGTTGTTATTTATCTGTATATCTAACTGTGAAGTGATTGTATACCTTTCTTTGTAGAATATTACAGATGAGGCCCTCCACAGGGTTGGCCAGCATTGTAACCAGTTGTTATTTATCTGTATATCTAACTTTGAAGTGGTTGTATACCTCTCTTTGTAGAATATTACAGATGAGGCCCTCCAAAGGGTTGGTCAACATTGTAACCAGTTGTTATTTATCTGTATATCTAACTGTGAAGTGGTTGTATACCTCTCTTTGTAGAATATTACAGATGAGGCCCTCCACAGGGTTGGCCAGCATTGTAACCAGTTGTTATTTATCTGTATATATAACTGTGAAGTGATTGTATACCTTTCTTTGTAGAATATAACAGATGAGGCCCTCCGCAGGGTTGGCCAGCATTGTAACCAGTTGTTATTTATCTGTATATCTAACTTTGAAGTGGTTGTATACCTCTCTTTGTAGAATATTACAGATGAGGCCCTCCAAAGCGCGTTGGTCAACATTGTAACCAGTTGTTATTTAACTTTTATATCTAACTGTGAAGTGAATATATATACCTCTCTATAAATGTAGAATAACATTGTCATCAGATGTGTGCCGTGCTTGCAAGAGCGCGCAGGGTTGGCCAGCATTGTAACCAGTTGTTATTTATCTGTATGAAATGCTTTAACTTTGAAGTGGTTGTATACCTCTCTTTGTAGAATATTACGCGCATGACGTGGCCCTCCAAAGGGTTGGTCAACATTGTAACCAGTTGTTATTTATCTGTATATCCTGAAACTGTGAAGTGGTTGTATACCTCTCTTTGTAGAATATTAAATAGATGAGGCCCTCCAAAGGGTTGGTCAACATTGTAACCAGTTGTTATTTATCTGTATATCTAACCGTGAAGTGATTGTATACCTCTCTTTGTAGAATATAACAGATGAGGCCCTCCGCAGGGTTGGTCAACATTGTAACCAGTTGTTATTTATCTGTATATCTAAGGTGAAGTGGTTGTATACCTCTCTTTGTAGAATATTACAGATGAGGCCCTCCACAGGGTTGGCCAGCATTGTAACCAGTTGTTATTTATCTGTATATCTAACTTTGAAGTGGTTGTATACCTCTCTTTGTAGAATATTACAGATAAGGCCCTCCAAAGGGTTGGTCAACATTGTAACCAGTTGTTATTTATCTGTATATCTAACTGTGAAGTGGTTGTATACCTCTCTTTGTAGAATATTACAGATGAGGCCCTCCACAGGGTTGGCCAGCATTGTAACCAGTTGTTATTTATCTGTATATCTAACTGTGAAGTGATTGTATACCTTTCTTTGTAGAATATTACAGATGAGGCCCTCCACAGGGTTGGCCAGCATTGTAACCAGTTGTTATTTATCTGTATATCTAACTGTGAAGTGATTGTTTACCTTTCTTTGTAGAATATTACAGATGAGGCCCTCCACAGGGTTGGTCAGCATTGTAACCAGTTGTTATTTATCTGTATATCTAACTGTGAAGTGATTGTTTACCTTTTTTTGTAGAATATTACAGATGAGGCCCTCCACAGGGTTGGTCAGCATTGTAACCAGTTGTTATTTATCTGTATATCTAACTGTGCACGGCTCACTGATGCTTCACTTGTGTCTCTTGGTCATGGATGTCCAAATATCAGGTGAGGCAGGCAGAGAGGTCAAGGTCAATAGAATTTTCACATAATGAAATAATTATTTATAACAGAGAGGGAAATGATTGCAGATTTATAGAAAATGAAATCTACCTTCAATTAGAATCCATTGGCCATCAGTGTATTGTAACAATGAAGTATTTTTAATGACTTTGTAATTTTAATTGTAACATAAAATTATGAGTGTACTCTGATAGTAATTATGTACGTAAATATGTTGATTTACATATAAGCTCATTGTTTTGATTTTAGAACCCTTGAGGCTGCCTGTTGTTCACATTTTACAGACAGTGGATTTCAAGCCTTAGCAAGGGTATGTTGTTCGTAGACACAGCATGTACATGTATCATATGTGCTTTCAGGATACTTTCACAGCATAACAAAATCTTTTTATTGAAGAATTTTAACTTTTGCTATTTCAAAAGAAAAACACAAAAGTACTTCAGTTTTAGTTCTATTATACAGTGAAAAAATGTGATTTTTTCAAATTACATATTGTAGTAGTTAAAGAAAAACTTGCATATTTATAGTTGTGTTGCTGTACTTTGTTGTTTTGTAGAACTGTAACAAACTGGAAAAGATGGATCTAGAGGAATGTATACAAGTAAGACTGTAATCTCTTATTTATTATAACTTCTGACTGTAAAACTGTAAACAATAATGTAATCTCAAATTGATTACAACTTCCGCTGGAAATGCTAATTATAATCTCAAATTTATTACAACTTCCATTGGAAATACTAATGTAATCTCAAATTTATTACAACTTCCATTGGAAATGCTAATGTAATCTCAAATTTATTACAACTTTCCATTTGTTTGACATTTTTTTGCTCAGATCTTTTTCAACTCTCATTAATAAAATTTGTAATTGATATTATAGATAACAGATGCTACATTAAATTACTTGGCCAACTTTTGTCCCAATATTAGTGCACTAGTAAGTAAACATACCATATTAATGTGTCAAGTTTGTTTATAAATATGAATCAATGGCTCAAGAACTCTATTTTATATTAAGTTTTAATTGGAAAGTTCACATTTATTTTTCAATTTTTACCTGTATTTACATGTATGTCTTTAATGGGGAAACTATGTATTTGAAACTTTAATTGTAAGCATAAAGGAGTTTTTTTTCTGTAGTTTTAAAGGTAGTTTAGTAAAGGCAGATTCCAATTATGTAATGTTAACACCATATTATATTCAGAATAATTAAATATTTTGATCTAAACTTCTTGTTTGCATACTGTTCGTTATCTCCATATGTTTCGTTATATCTTTTTACTTATATCTTTATTTTACTTGAAATTTTTGTTTTGCCTAGACCTTATCTCACTGTGAGCTGATCACAGATGAAGGAATTCGTCATATAGGATCAGGTGCTTGTGCTACTGAACAGTTACGTATTCTAGAACTGGACAATTGTCCGTTAATCACTGACGCATCACTGGAACATTTAACGGGATGCCAGAGTCTCGAGAGGATAGAACTGTATGACTGTCAGCTCATCACGAAAGCTGCGATCCGTAGACTCCGAGTATGTATCAAATGTAAGGGGGGGGGTATAAGTGTGAATGCATAGTTTACAAGTGTCATTAAAAGTTTGGATCCTGATCAATATAGAGATCTTAATTACTTCTGAGAGAGATTAATTTAGCAGTGTAAAGTCAAATATTACTACTGGAAGCAGTTAGTTGATTAGTTGACAGCTAAATGCAATTTTCTTACATGTTTATCAGTTGTTCTAAACACTCTTTGAGCATTCTAATTTCATCTTTTAGTTGCAACTTCAGTTCATATTTCATTTTTTTTCATCGAAATTGAATGGTCACTGAATTTTGTTGACACTGCAGTGTTTTATTCTGTTGTTTGTTGGTAGAGCCTTCATTCCTACCCACCAGCATTTGATTTCATCATGTTGAACAGATGAATAATTTTCTTATTAAGCAAATGTAAGGATATAATATTATGTCCTTGACCATCTTGTCTTGAAACTATTTAAGAAATGAAGTATCATTTTTGAAAATCTATCAGGATATAAGTATGAGTTTGTCACATGATCAGATTCCTGGTGTGCCATACACTGTCATAATTGTAAAACTGAATTTTACTGTAAAAATTATAGTTATCCAACAAATTTTGTGGGTCTCCCATACTCACTGATTTAACTTTTTCATGATTTATTAATGAGCATAATTTAGATGGCAAATGGAGATTGCAGTAATGTCTGAAGTGGTACACTGTAATTGTACCTATTCTCTGTTTGAAACTAAACTTTCTTTTTTTCTTCTTTGCAGACAAGACTACCCAACATCAAAGTTCATGCATATTTTGCCCCTGTGACCCCGCCTCCAGCAGTGGGTAACGGTAGACAACGTTATTGTAAATGTTGTGTCATTCTTTGATAAAGGATGTGTGATGCGGGAACAACTTGCAATGTGTTGTTGTGTCCAACATGGCACGAAGATGAAGCATTGTTTTGTGTGATATCCATGTGACAAACAGCTTTCCTTCTTCTCTCTATCCATGCTGTGGAACAGTATTGGCAGAGGATGGAAAGAAAAGTTCCCAATAGAAGTGGCCATTTTATTTTCACAAAGCACACAAGGAAAATTTTGTTTTTAATGGAGAGATCAGTAAACATTTCACTGATATTTTCACTCCACAAAACAAGTGTTTTAGAGGAATTTTAATGCACACGTATTTTAAATTGTATTAGGTGAGCAGAGTATCACTCTGGTACATGAGTAGGTCTATCCCCCCACTCTCTCTCTCTCTCTCGTTACCATAATTCATATGAAAATTTTGTTGTTAATCAAAATTTATCATAAAAAATCTATACAACACTGCTACATATTAAATAGTGATTGCATTTTTTACCCTCCATGATTTTATATCAGTGATACATACATGTGCAATTTGCTGAAAAAAACATTATTCTGAATCATTTCTATAAACTTGGCCCTCTGTGTTAAAACTTGCATCATCTATTTACAATTTTACCTGATAAACAGTGGAGGCATTTACTTGTGAAGTTAGTTCCTCTTACATTGTTTAAGACTGTATTACACTGATACTTAAGTTACATGTGTGTTAATTAGTTAGTTTTGTGTTGATTGTTTATTTATTACATTATGCTGAATGTAAGAAGAGATTATTTGTTTTATGGTTATAAGTGTGGCAATTCCATATGGTATGATAATTAATTTTTCATATGACTCTGCACATTTCTTTACATGTGTAACCAACTTGTTTTGCACAGTAGTATTTTTTTTTTGAATGGATTGCATTATGTCCTGAAACAATGGGGAATGTTGATCCAAGATTTTTTCTGACAAGGATTTTTCCTTCTGTTAATTATTACCATATTAAGTTCAATGGTGTGTTTGATGTGCGTCAACAACTTGCTCCTAATGATCATGCCTTAATTCATGTAGTCAACATTTGATTCAAAGGATTCCATTATTAATTATGACCCATGGTTGGAAACTTTGTTTTTGCTGTCTCTGTTTGTTAGTTCTAATGTCCTTAGTTTTTGAAATTGGTTCTCCCTTGCAGGAACTAACTACAGTCAAATCTTATCGTTTAGAACTCCATGCAGTGAAGAAATATCTAAAGATATGAGATATCAAAGTTTGATATTGATGAAAGAAAATTGAAAGGCAGTGGAGACTTTCAAATCACTTGGATATATATTCGGCATGTATCTATGATATTCATGGGAATGATGTTCAAACTATCAATGCTCAACTGTATTTTTTTAGAAACAGATAATCAGATACATTTTGTCAAGGTTTAAGCCTCAGAGCAAGTCAACAAAGATTTTAGCAACAGTCATAGAAAGAATCCAGGTATGATGGTATTCATATTTGGCAAACAGACCTTGAATTGTTTTTAATTGAATTACTTCTGAATCATTTCTTGTACCATTTATTGCCTTTTTGAGTCGAGACTTCTAAATGCATGCATCAGTTATATTCACCAGCACATTTCATTCATTGCAAATTGATTGAACTCAACATAAGATTTATTTGATTACTTGTTGTTATTAATTATTCAAATCCAGTTTGCTGCCCAACAACAGGAAAACAAAACTTGGTAAATTCATACTTGGATAAATGTAAACACACACACAATAAATGGCAAATTCATTAAAATGCATGGCTTAAAACTCAGAAAAAGCTAGATCATGGTATATGGGAACAATATACTCTGATGCAGAGGTTAACAATCAACCATCAATGGCTGCAACATTCAGCAAGACTTGACTCTATCTCATCTACATGTAAACCAATAAAGGGTCACATATATATTCTACATGGTTAATGCTTTCCAAGGTAACAGAGCATGTGCTGATGTTATGGGTTTTTGTGGTAGAATCTCATTTACAGTTTTCAATCTATGGTTTGTACTTCATTTGCAAAATGGTATTGATGTTTATTTTAGCTGTATTATTTTAAAGTTCCAGAATATGTATGACCACAGTTTAAATTGTGAGGAAAAAGACTTGAATGAGTAATTTAATAAAATGTCAGGAATGATTGGAATTTTGAATGGAAGAATCTATGTGACAAAAGATTAGTTGTAAGCTTATACATATTATAAGAGCTTTCATAATGTATAATCCATCTGAATCAAGATTTACATCAGTGTAATGTATTGTAAAACAATAACACGCCTTCAAATAGGCCTAGAAAACGTGTCCAATAAAGAAAGCTAGTATTTGTGATTTGAAATTAAGTTGATTTCATTTTCATCATATATTTTAACTAGCTTGTTGCTTATTTACACATTTTACATAGATGTCATCTGATCTTATTTAGTTTAAGCAGAGTGATGGCCGCCTAGGATATGACGTGTCGTTGTCTTGGTAACAAATGGTTGCCACAACAGCTGTGATATTGTAATATTACAATTGAATTAATATTATGTATATGTGCAATTTAATGTCTGTCGATAATAAAATGTTTATTATCACTAATTTTCAACCTTATCATTGCTCCTAAAAGTTATCTTGGTATATATTTTATGGCCTAATTTCATTGAAAATGATGCAAATAATAAATTTCTAGAATATAAAGAAATTATAAACCTTCTAAGATGTTCAAAGGTCTGCATCTCTGAAACCATCTGTATAAATCTAAACAAATTTTTTTCACCTCAAATTCCTTTTTTGTGAAAATATGAATAAAAAATTAAAATTTAAAAATTTCATTAAAACATGAGTCAACTTGTTAATTAAAAATTGTTTGATAAAATTTTATATTATCCCTTAAAGTTGATTTAAAATGTACTGAAGGGGTTTTCAAAACCTTTGGAATTATCGACACAGATACGTACGTGTCTTCAATTTCATTGCTAAAGCAGTGATAACTTTAAAAATTTAAAATTGACTTATGTAATATTATTTTAAATAATGTTATACATCTTTTCTAAATAAAAAACAGAAATTGTCCAAAATTCCAATTTCTTTCTAAAGTAACATTGTAACATCTCTAGCTCCTTTTATTAAATAATATTAGATATAATATTACTAAAAATTAAGCGATCATGCAAATGAATATACATATTCTGTGTATCATGAGCTACAATCTTGAGCGCTTTGAGGTTCAACTCCATAGAAAAATTCTACTACCTAGTTCCTATCGAAACTGTATCTAAATTAAGTTCGTTTAGTTACTTATGAAGGCTATAATAATTATTCGACTGTCGATCATAATGAAACTACTCAAAATACTTTAATTTCACATTGACTGAGAGTGATCAAATCAGCAGATATTCCATGATACGTGATAACATAGGCATAAAAGTGTCTGTTTCACATTTTAAACCTAATAATTTCAGCCCCAGCTCTACATAGCTATTTTCTTTAAGAAGAAGATAGTATAGGTACCTTGGACTTTAATTTTTTGGATATTTAAAGAAATTTAGCGGATAAATGTGAACATCGAAATTAAAACCATGTTCTTTTTGTATTTATAAAAATAAAATTTATGTTACTTTAAGGAGCGCAGTAAACGTAAATGCTTTTAGTAATGTTGGGCTCCAAGTGACTTATTTGTAAATAGGCAAAAGTAAAAGAAAAGAGAGATATATAAAACAGATCTTTAAATTCACAAAGAACTGCTGAAAAGAAAAAAAAAATGAATTCAGTATAAAACTAATATTAAAAATGATGAAAGTAGATAAAATATTTTTCTTCTGATCTTCAAAGCATATTTAAAGTATAAATTAAAGCATTTTTTCAAAACTCAAAGAAATGAAAAGTTGACAATTTGATAAATCTACACAAAGAGCTGCTGACATGAAATGCAATAACATTATTGATATACATACTTCATCATTTAGCACCAAATTAAAAAATATATATATTTGTTTCAAAACTTATCAATCATGCCATATTAATTTTTTTTCACCAACAATCTTTTCAAAAAATCCATAAGGAGCTATTGGTAAGAAGTTACATAATCAGTCTTGGAAAATAAAAAAATGACATAATTTTTTTTTATATTTTTTTCTATTATATATACTTTAAGTAAAAAAATTTTGTACCAAAAAATTCATGAAAAATAAAACATAGAAAACAAAGAGCTTTTAAAAAAAATTTCTTTATAATTTATGTGTATACTTGAGTTTAAGTCAATTTATATCTACATTTACAAATAGTCTTTTTTTTTTTATACTTAATAAATGCATTTTTACCAGATAAAATTCAAAGAAAGGGAGACAAGACAGCAGATCATGAGAGAACTCCATAAAGAGCTAAGTGGTAGAGAAAATTAGATTTTAACTTATGGTAAATAAAATATCATTTTTTACATTTGATTTTTCCTTGTCAATTTGCTGTATCTAAAATTGTAAACATTTTATTATGACAGACAGAAGTCAAAAATAAGAAAGAACAAAAACAATTTTAATGTTGTCCACACTTCAAAAAGAGCTGCTGGTAAGAAACTTAAAATATACCTATGTTAAAATAATACATGTATTCATACTAGTCAAACTTGGCCAGTAAGATATGACTTTTATGCATTATTTTGCTGTTTTAATCAGTTTTAAAATATAATTTTTTTACAGGGAAAAATTCTCCAAGCATCATCAACAGATTGTTAGTCCAATGAAAGCTTCTTAAGTCCACAATATGTTAATATAACATATATACTTGTGTAAATATATATATATATATATATATATATATATATATATATATATATATATATATATATATATATATATATATATATATATATATATAAATTTGCAAGGTACCCAACTTCAAAATGCAATTTTTTCTATTACAGAAAAAACTCAGAGAAAGGCAGACACTTGTCAGAAAGGAATACTCATGGTGAACATTTTTTTTTTATTTATGGTAAATAAAATATAATATATTATTGTTTGTTTATCCATGTCAAGTTTTTTTTATTTTAAAAAATTAATACTTTTTTCACACGGATTAAAGCCAAAGAAAGGAAGGCATTACAACAGATGCTTTCTAAACTTCACAAAGAACTGCTGGTAAGAAAGAAAATATATATTTCTATAAGCTTCTATTATTTCAGTTCGTTAATAAGGCAAAGAATGCTACTTATTTATATGACAAAGAATTTAAAGATTAACTTTGTTCACACATTCAAAGGAAGAAAAAGGAACATTTTGCAAGAAAACTTTTTTGTTCCACATTGAGACTTTCAAGATCTTCTCAAAGGTACAGTATCATTCTATTTAGTTGGGAAAAAACATCATTGAAACAATTACAATTTAATTTTATTAAATGAGTTTTTATTAAAAAAACATGTTTCTGTTAAAATCTATAAATTATTCCACAAACTATTAAAAAAATAAAATCATACACTCTGAAAAAATCCTAGGGAATATTTAAGGAAGCATGGGCTTACTTTGACCTGGAAGTTTATATATAAATTATCAAAAAGGCATAGTTTAAGTAGAGAAGATCATTCCAAATACATCTGGTTCTCTTTAAAATGTGAAGTTTTTTTATTGACATCTTTAGGTACTTTTGTTGAAATTGTACTGTTACATGAAGAATTTCCCAACATTTCTATTTATAGGATGAACTGAAGGAAGATAAGGGCACCAAACACTCTCAACTGGCTATCCAAAATAACAGCATACAGCCGCATACTAGTACATGTATCAGTGAGAGCAGGACTGCAGTCCATACACAAAAGGTACTTTTAAGGTTGACAAACCCTCTGATAAGAGAGATAACTCTCATTAAAATTTAATGACTAATATCATTTCTTAATAAAATTGTCAAATTAAAATTTTTTTTACTGTCAATGACCTACAAGGTATCCTGATATTGTGCAACGAAATATTTTATCTAAAACCTCTTCTTCTTTTAATAAATCATTTTAGTATTAAATAGAAATTTGTATGAGTGAACAATCAAATACATGCTGTGCTATTTAGATAAACTTAATGAGACAGTATTGATATTGTTATTTTGTAGGCAAGAAATGGAAAGAAGACACTGAAACATCGATTTAGAAAGTTATTCGGTCTAAAGTAAACCAGGCAACCAATAAACTGAGGCAATAAAGTGTGAACTTTTCAACGCAAGCACTGTTTGGAGTTAAATTTTACACCCACTGCATTTAAATTCTTGTTAAAATTTTTATATGAAAAATTAAATCATATGAGTTAAGCTGGTTTTCTTTATTATTTCTGCCTCAGAATATGTAAAGAAAGACATATGATAAATTAAAACGTGTTATATGTCCCTTAAGATGGCAATGTCATTTAAAATTTATCCAAAAGTATCTTTTCCGTATTTTGATCTGCAGACACTTTTCAAATTTAGAAATACAGGGAGCAAGATGCAAGTCCCAATTTCTCCATTGTAATAACATTCAAATTACAAATGCAATTTACTTATTGTATATAAATACATGTGAAAGAATGTTTTTGAAACAGTGATACTCCGTATAACAGCTTCAATGACGAAGGTTGACATTTCTCAAGTCAAATTCCTAAGTCAAGAAATGAAGAAATGTTGTTACCCAAAGAGAGGACTTAGTTAATTTCTCCATCAAACACTAACCGTCAAAAGCTAGCAAACTTCAAATTAGCAATTATAGGAAAAAGCACATATCAATTGAAAGTTTACTGAGGGGGAAGGGAGGGGGGAAAATTTTAACCCACCAGTGGGTCATGATTTGAACAAACTAGAATCTACACCACCTGAGGATGATTCCCTATAAATATCACAAAGCATGGCTTTGAAGTACTTGAAAAGAAGATTTTAAAAGGTTTCCCTATATATTCCTATATAAAACTTTTATCGGCCATTTGGCCCCTCCCTACCCCCGGGGGTCATGATTTGAACAAAGTCGAATCTACACTACCTGGGGATGATTCCACATGAGTTTCATCTTTCCTGTCTCAATGGTTCTTGAGAAGGCTTTTCCTATACACTCCTATGTAAAACTTTGATCGGCCATTTTGGCCCCATCCTACCCCCGGGGGTCATGATTTGAACAAACTTGAATCTACAATACCTGAGGATGATTCCACAAATCTTTCCTGGCTCAGTGGTTCTTGAGAAGAAGATTTTTAAAGATTTTTCCTACATATTCCTATGAAATGTACCCCCGGGGGTCATGATTTGAACAAACTTGAATCTACACTACCTGAGGATGATTCCACATGATCTTGCCTGGCCCAGTGGTTCTTGAGAAGAAGATTTTTAAAGATTTTTCCTACATATTCCTCTGTAAAAGTTTGAATCGGCCATTTTACATGTACCCCCTGGGGTCATGATTTGAACAAATTTGAATCTAAACTACCTGAGGATGATTCCACATGAGTTTCATCTTTCCTGGCCCAGTGGTTCTTGAGAAGAAGATGAAAATGTGAAAAGTTTACGACAACAACGACAACAATGGCAAACAAATTTTAAAAAAGATATTCGGCTCAGGTGAGCTAAAAAGATAGTTTGAGGTCAAACTCTG